TAACAACATCTCTCCTCGCACGGGCAGGCATCACATAAGAGTTACACAATGCCGTCACTTCTGTGTGGTAGTTAAAGGCGCGTCTTGCGTTCATGTGATATCCAGGCGTCTTCTCTGGACATAAAAGTCCTGTTTGCAGCAAGCGTACAGGATGTGCTATTTTCGCAACCCTAAAATACGCGAGGAAAGCGCGACCCGCTCGCTACGAAGCCACGGCTCTGCCTAGTGGCTACGACTACGCCCAACTTTCATTTCTGAAAGCCTCCTTGTAGTGCATACTAAAAGGAGCTACCGCAACATAACCGCTGATTTTACTGGGAATCCTCTTACCATTGCATACAGCTTGAATTGCGTGACCGCCGTAAAGGGCGCAACGGAAGGACTGCTATTAGGTTGATGATATGGCTCGGACAAATGGTAGTGATGATTTCTAGAGATCATAACTCAGCAACGAGTGAACGAAAATGGACGCGCGAGGTACCGTTGGAAAGAATATAAAAAGCTCTTCAAAATGCAATCAAACAAACACTCCAAACTAGTTTCATTCCGCCACCATGCCGCACGATTTCAAGCCGTCCAGAGACCACCTCCGCAACGTCATACTCTTTCTAACGCTATCTGGCCAAGAACCCGCGGATATCGACAGACGCCTAAAGGAAGTCTACAAGGAGCATGCCCCGCTAGAAGTACAGTCTACTTGTGGCATTCGAAGTTTGCGTCGGGCAACTATTCCATCGAAGACGAAGACCATGCGAGACGCCCGAGGGAGCTGGATTTGGACTCGCTGCGGAAACAGGTGGAAGCCGATCCGTATCAAACCACTCGAGATATGGCGACCGCTCTTGGGGTGAGTCAGACTACTGTCGTTCGCGGCTTGAAGTCAATCGGCAAGGTGCTGAAACTCGGTCGATGGGTACCCCATGCTCTGACGCAGCGGGACATGGATCGGCGGTGCGAGGTCGCACTTTCGTTGCTCACCTTCAAGCCACCACCATTGGCTCGACGAAATAATCACTGGCGATGAGAAGTGGGTCCTCTACTCTAACTCTCACCGCCGTGCACAATGGGTCGACAAAGATGCCGACGCAAACGACGTCCCCAAACCCAGTCCACACCCGAAAAAGGTGATGCTCTGTATTCGTACACGGCGTAGAGTACTGGGAACTGCTCGATGAAGGTGCAACAGTAACCGCCGACGTCTACATTCGTCAATTACGAGAATTGAAGGCAAATGTCCAAAATTCGCAACGGCGGCGGTCCCATGTCTACTTCCAGCACGACAACGCGAGACCGCACATTGCAAGATCGACCAAGGCCGAGCTGCTGTCGTACAGTTGGACCGTGCTTCCACACCCACCGTACTCTCCAGACCTAGCCCCTTCGGATTTCCACCTTTTCTCCCACCTCCAAGCCACCTGGACGGCCAGGACTTTGAAACTCGCGACGACGTCAAGGAAGGCACTCGAGAACTTGTTCAAGGCCCAGCCCCCGCGGCTTTCTGTGAGCAAGGGCATCACGATCTGCCTATCGTGGCAACGCAAAGAGTCATCGATGAAGATGAGCATATTTTTAAGTGAACCCCACCAGTTGTCGTAAAAAGTTTGTAGCGCATAAAGAAAAAAATTTTGTAAAGTTTGTCGACATCATATCGACTCACCTAATAATAAGTATTCCTCATGGCCACTATTATGAACACGACGTGTCGATTGGGGATCCCCAGCAAAGGGAGTGCGTATTTAGTCGCTGAAGGGATGAAAACGCAGATATTCCCTTTGAGAAACGCGTTTCGGTTTTACTATTCTCGATTTTCTGTTACAAGTACGCTATACACCCTCCTACGTCGCAGTTCTCTGGGGAAAGGGAGAAAACGGGAATTTTTCTTGAAAAAAAAAACAAAAAAATTGTGACAGATAGTTGGCAAAAGTTACGAAAAGATTGTAGGAGGTAGGGTCACACCAAAGGGGAAATTTTTGCGAATAGCTATTGTATAAAAATTATTAATATTCCGCAAGAATTTTTTGCGAGGGCAGGACGTGCCCTGAAAGCAAGGCTCCCAGGCCTCGGTTCAGCTACTTGCATGCATGCGGCTCAGGAACAGAGCACGGTGGGTCTCCCCCCACCTCGACCTCGTACCCAGACTTTTTTGGGAACCTTGGGATCGTATTGGCGCTGTTATTTCCAACACGAGCGCAATCGGTTGATGGATGTACTTTTCAGTCAGCAGATCGATAGAGCTATAAGGTAGCTAGGTAAACTATACTGTGAACGCTGGAAGAGCGTGAATGAATGCACCAACAAAAAAAGCAGTGGCAAACAGGCGTCAGTTACGACCCACTGCGCACAAGGGAAGTGTATGACGTGTATGGTTTAAATGCAAGTGGCACGATAAATCCCCAAGATGTGTAGTACTAATACACCCAGCAGGACAGACTTCGGCGCCTCTTAGCGAGCGTTGCGTGGCGCTTTTCCAAGGCACCTTTACAGAGTCCCATCAAGCTGCAAACATACCGAGCTGGACGCCCCGGTCTCCGGACCACAGCGCCCGCCCGCCCACAAATGTACGACTAATGCTGATACTCGTATCGTTTCATTTGCGAAGTGCTGTAGAAGCGAACGGGCTCATGAAGCGGCCGCGGTACTGCATGGACACATGGGTACACACATACAGCCGTGCCTACCGTAGCGGTTAGTTCGCCAACCGAATGGGCCGAACGGAAATGCGTCCGAAACTGCCCCCGAGTCGTGTAGGACAACGGCTTTCTGCAGGTTTTTACGTTTTCTCTTGGTTTTTTTTTTGCCCATTTCTCCACTTTATAGCACCCCTGCTACCGTTTTCAGTCGAAAGCAAATTCGAGTACCAATCGAGTACTAAAATAATGCGTGGCTAACGCTTGGCGGACGGAGGTTGAAAAGAAGAGAGTGGCGATGTACAGGTTCGTCTCTGCTGACGTTGACGCTCTTCGTTTATCTTCATAATTTTCTCTTCATGTTGTCGACGAAGCGCTTCGTGTCGTTCTCTTATGAGACGTTCGGCTGCCTCTTTTCGACGGCGGACCTGATAAAGACTGTTTGCAGAAACAAAACGTTACGTCAGCACATTAACTTCTCCGCGCTATCAGCTGAGCAACAAGCAACCACCAACAAACATTTGCACTAACCTCTGCTACATTATCAATAAGTCTCCTCGGTTTGGGAGGCTGTTGTTGTGTACGTGAAGAGGAGTCCATAATGACCACTAAATATACGACCTAAAGAAATGAATACTAATCTGCCAGCCAGGAAAACCCTATCACGATTAGAAGAGTGATCATGCATCGCTCGGTATGATATCGATTGGACAAACAACTTGGGGCAAGCAAAAAAAATTGAGTAATCTCCAACATTTTATGCAACGTGAAATGATGCATAAAAGTTCGAATCACAGATGGAAAACAGTAACCATCTCAACAATAACAGAAACATTACCACATCAACAATCATCGATCCAATAGTCCATAAAAACGTCAATGATCGATTTACCTAACAGAAAAGGCAGTCATTCGCTAACAGTGGCACATGAAAAAGACACTGGTTAACGCCCGAGAAAGAGAAAATGTCAAAAATAGGAAATTATCAACAGTCTTTCATGTAAATGGTTCAGGATCAGGGCAGGAAATTATCAAAAGTAACTTTCATGAAAATGGTTCAGGATCAGGGCACGTCCTGCCGCTGGGGAAAAAATTTGCGAAACGGAACCTCCCTTGGAAACTTGCTCCTCTGTTACTCCGCCTCTTCCCTATCAGCGCAATCCCCTTCCTATCTACCACAACTCTAGAATCTAAAATTCAAAACTTCCTGTCACTCATTTCTAGGGGTTTTCCCAAAATCCCCCAGTTTCCCCCCCCCCTTCCCCTCAAAAAAAGTTCCGTGTAGCGTGGTGGGATGGGACGAGGGGGGAGAAAAGTGAGGTATGTAGCGCACTTAAAAGAGGAGAATAGAGCAATGTGAATCACGGAAAGATTTCAGTGGCGAATACTACAGCCCCTCCCTCAGAAGACCAAATAAGACCCCTTCCCCTTGTTGGGGATCCCCAACGTCCGACGTGCCCTGATTAAAACAGAAGCGAAGACATCGCAACTGCGATAACGTGGCACAAATCAGAACGGCAGGAAACGGGGGAAAAACCCACGAAAATCAATACATAGGCGGAAACAGCAAATAGTTATGTTGTGAAGTTATTCCAACTATGTGCACATCGTAGACCGCCATGCCACTAGCACAGCTGATATCGGGGGCGGGAGATATGTCCCATGGGAGCGGGGTTTGGGCCAGCAGCGTCACGTGTCGCCGGGCGTCGTCCCGAATTCGTAGTGATCTATTTCATGTGCTGCCGATGCGCTCGTTTCTTTACATGCTTGGGGATCTTGGCTTTTCGAGCCTCGCGTCTCTCTTCTTTTATCAGTTGCTTCCTTGCTTTGCGTTGTTCTGGCGTCTCGTCTTTGTCCCTGATAAATTATTCATGAGTAGTCATGAGTACCCCAAAAACCCATAAACAATCGAGGAAAACCGCAAAAGGATGCCTGGTAGTCAGTCAAATAGCACAAAAACATTGATTGAAAGATAAAAGGACGAAGTTTTCGCCGTAATCAATCCCTTTCTCGGATACGGCACGCATTCTACTCCCATTCAGAATCACAATGGTTCCTGTACAAAGACGTGCGGGGGCTAGCCGATATACAAATCAGTGTCGTTATCCTCCCAGACATATTTGTACCAATTCGCCGTCACTGGAGGGTGGAAGGCTTGGTTGGCCT